GAAAAAACACATTGTGTTTGTTAATACGGTGTTAACAATGTTATTGTAAAAAAAAGAGTCAATTAAAAGACTATGGTTAATTAACAAAATCTGATATGTATATTTGTTTTATGGATTATGATCATTATAGAAAAATATTTTTATGGCAGATGGGGTAGCCACACCATGGATGATCGGTGTATTCTATACTGTAAATACCATATAATATGTTAATACTGTATTTAATATTTTCTTTGCGTAAAAATATATTACGGCGATACTTCTATTTATATATGTTGTTATTTATAGTTCCATTAAAAATAAAGAAAAAAGAACTGCTGATTTTTATTTAACAAAATACTTCAAGAAGAATTCTAAACGAACAAAAAGTATAAAATTTATATAAATACTTTATTCGTTGAAAAAATACAATAGTTGAAATTGGATTGCCTCACCGTTGTTCAATTTTTCACGTCTATATTTAAAAAAAATAGCACCTATCGCGTTTTTAAATGTCAACTGGTATAAAGTCAAAAAATAATACTTTTAATTTATTTTTAAAATGATACTATACTATACTATAACGATAATATTTAAAATATATAACGTGTAAAGCTAATACCTACAGAAAAATAATGCAATTAATGTTACTTTTTTTTTTCTTTTTCTTAAATATTGCCACCGTGATGAGATATGTATTGCCACCGAAGAATCACAGATTCCAGAATTGATAACACGTTCAAATAGCAACAGGTACTGCTTTTAAATCTCTGCAATTGCACCAACAGTAATTATAATAACTGTGCCCTTGATTTTATGTTATATGATCAATCATCAGGTATGGGAGTGTTGCAATTCCCATGCCACAATTTTGTTTCTGAATCACACTTCGAATAATTTCCAAATACGTCGGCGTATCCACGATCCCTCCACCATGTACACAGCTGCCTGTTCCATCCACAATCAATAGTGTGAATTAACTCAGGTTTCTCCATCCCTAAGAGGGTATAAAAATCCTGATCTCCCAAGTGACCCTGCAAACACATGAAAAACGTAACATTTTCAGAATGGTCACGTAATAACAGACATTGCATCCATTACCTTAAAGTGATATTTCTCTGTCATTGCGTCAACTTTTTCCTTTTTTACAATCGCATCGTACACAGAGGAGTTCCTTAATTTGTCAAGATTAAAGAGTACCACCCCGCTGTTATATCCGGGATAACCGCCTGAACTAGCGGGCTCTCCGAATAACGTGTCAGGATGCTTGTTGCGGTACAAATACAAAACGTGCCTGTAAACTGGAGTGAGTTCAGGGGAAAGGCCAAACAAGGCTTGGCTCCCAAAGGTGTTGAACTCCTCGAAAAGCTCCTTGATGTCTCTGCGGAATTTGGTATCGGCGTCAAACATCGCCGCGACGCTTTGCTCAGCCGGAGCTATCCGATGCAGACCTAACGACAAGAAAAACAATGCATCCGAGTAGTAAGTTCCCGGCTTGCTGCTAAAGTGCGGAGACATAACTGATACTATGTCTGCCAGTTGCAGTGCTAGTTCATGCACGTCGTAATATTGCACCTGAAAAGAAATTAACAATAAATTAGTAAGATCTTGAAATTACTCATGAGGAATTATTCTGCTCCACCTTCATGAATTTCCTTGTGGACAATAAGATATTGCCCAATAATTTTTCTGCAACATTTTTGCTGTCATCATCGGTTATAACGTGAAATGCGATATCAACAGAGGACAACTTAAGTAAAGATTCGGCAAAGATCTCAAACTTTCGTCTCATCGGAGAGTTGCTGGCAACTTTGGTGAATATACACCAGACATTGTAGTAATCCTTGCCACTTGGCAGGAACACTGTCGTAGCGTTCTGGCCGAAGCTTCTCGACTTGGTGGTCGAAGCATTCTCCTTATCGCTATGCAGCGTCCAGCGTATACCATTTGACGTCTGATAGCAGTAAAACAGAACGAGGATCACAGCAAGAAGTGTCAAGTTGATGAGCACCTTGCGTAACAAGAGCATTTAATTATTCGATCATGTTCAAGTCTCCTCGTACACTCCAACTAGTGAGAATTCCGTGTTAAACGCAATCTGTTAAAACGTTAACGATGGAATGTTAATGTTTTTATAGGTTATGTCACTGAGACTTGGCAAAATTTTAGGTTATATCTGTCGCAGTTGGTCAAAATCATTTAAAGAATTGATAACAATAGAACAGATAACCAAGCAGAGAAGCACACGTTCGTTTATTAAATTACAAACGTTTAATTAATGCACGCAAAGGAAATCGCAAACTATGAAAAAGGAAAAAACACAAAATGCAAAAAAAAAACAATGCACTACACTACCGATGCAGTTTTACTACCTGTGTTAAAAATATTGATCATCTTCATTTCGACACTGCATAGTTCGTGATCCATTATTTTAAATCTACGTAAATTAGAAATAAATATGTATTGCGAAATTTCAATTAGTTGGAGTGTCATTTAACGTTGCAAATGTATTTAAGAAATAAAATTTCTACAATATAGTCATTGGAATGAGTGATACGTATTCTGAATTTAAAAAGTCCCGCCAGTCCAAGATTATGCAAAATAGTTTCAACAACTGTTGCTAGATGGCGCTGATTGCACGTATGACATCACTTACACAAAGGTAATTAGTGCTTAATTTCAATATTCATCAATATTCAAATTATTCCGTTGGAATCATCGATTTTTGAGTGACATCAAAAAAAGAAAAAAAAAGAAAAACTGCCATCTCGTTAAAGGATTCATTAGCCCCGCGTTTGAGGTTCAATTTTTACAAACAGGTATCAAATTTTAAAAATGAAGATATACATTGCACAAGTGCGAAATTAATGAAAAATTTCATCTCTGTTACAATCGATAACCTTCTCTCCCATGGTACAAAGTAGCATTTGATTCGAATATTGTGTTTCATTCTTTTTTTTTTTTTTTTTTTTTTTAAGATATAGCGTTACAAAAGAGGAAAAACAAATCAAGAAAGATTCGAGAAAAGAATTGGTCGACAATGAGAGATGGACACAGGGTGGTATATTTTCAAGGGCACCGAGCCCGACGAACTTGCATTGACGAAGCTACGCCTTTTTTTATACGTGTTGTCTCCCATACTGAAATCTGGACCAGCAACCTGCCTGTCCTGTGCAGAAGACCTCTCGCAGTATTGATCACTGTGGGAGGGAAAGGCACGTCCGGGGATGGTCAATAAACACGTGGCACCAGTCGAACTTCCGAGTGAGGATTTTCACTCCTCGGACATCCAACCAGATCGGAGAAAAATAATGCAGCATAACACACCA